TTGCTGGATTTATTCTTGTCATGTACTGAGTAAATTCTTCATTCTTGCAATTCATGCAACTTCTTTGACTAACAAAATTCAGTGGGTATTTTTTTCCTTTTTCAGTCTTTACCTGGGTTAAATATGACAAATTCTCAATATTAGCATTTTTAGAAAAATGTAGAATTGCAAAATATATGCCAAGCTTCTTCAGAGCTGAGTTAAAAACTTCGGCCTTACACCAATCTCATTATATTGAAATATGTAGTTACTCTTGTGTTTATACTCTTGTGAGGAAATCTGCAACTGTATCAGCTTAAATGATAAAATTTACCACAGAAAAGCAATTACATTTGGTTATTAGAGATTTAATTGTGACATACCTATGTGAAAGTTACATCAGTGTCAATAGGCCAGTTGAACCAGAAATTTTTTTCTGTTAGCAACCTTGGTTTTCAGTAATTGAAGCAGCAAACTGAGGTGTTCTTGTATCTAACTGGAAGTTTTAAAAGCCACTAGAGGTACCATGCTGTACTCGCTAGTGTAGTGTCACTCAACGTAGAAAACATTAGTTTGAATTCATTTCAGATGTAGCAGTAAGATATGCTATGTAACCAGCTGATGTTAATCCATATCTAAGTGGCAGAAATTAATTGAAAAGGTGATAACATCAATATCTGCAGCAAAATCTATGAAACACTTTTTCTGTTATTCCAAAATCATCAGTGGAATATTGCATCCTAAAACATTAAAGAACCATGATATTCTGCATTAGAAAATTGAAAATCTTTGTGGTCCTCTATATGCCTCAAATGAACTTTTCTTCCCTAGACACAATAATTTTTTAGTCAATGTTGGATGCAATATAGAGGGAAAGCCATTAGAAGGTTTCAGTTCTGTGCTACACAAATGCTTTCCAAGTCTGTTTAAATTTTTAGTGGTTCATGTATGGAAAGCAGGTATTTTATAAGAACCAAATAAGAAGCAGTCAACTTTACTGTAATGTTAATATATTTACTGACATAAATACTAAATAATTTAGAAGGCTGGCATGCCCTCCATTAATCAAATGTAAGGTAATTATGGCCTTTAAAATTTTTAGCACTCTGCTGTGCATGAGTTTAGACAAAGTGGATTATTTCTGTTCTTACTAGGTGTCTTGGTTTGGAAAGACAGGTATCTGTTAAGGAAGGCAGGAGCCTCTCCTGAACTGGAAAAAGTGTAGACTCCCTCTCTCTGAATTGCTATACATTTGAAATTAAGAGGGGCTCTCAGGCAAAAATATGGGAGCAGGAATAACAGTTCTTTATTAGGGAAGAAAAGAAAAAAGATAAAAAAAGCCAATGCAGTAAACTAAAACAACACTGATAGAGTGTCTTGGTTCGACAAGACAGGAGTCTGTAAAAGAGGGCAAAGCCTCCTGTGCAATGGAGAACGGCAAACCCCCCTCCC